AAACGCAGGCGGTTGGTTGAGCTTTCATTTCTTCCTCATGTCCTTCTATTTCCAGCTTTCTAGATGTGTGTAGTTCTGACTCACAATATTCCTGCTGTGATCAAGGGAAGTCTTCACTTTTCATACCACATCCTCCTGACCACACTAAAGGTAGTCCTGTAACACACCAGCATTCATTGCTGCATGCAGTCCTGCTGTGTGTCCACTAGAGGGATGTTACTACTGACACTCCAGACAGAGCTGACCTGGAGATGTAGCAAAAATAATACTATAGTTGTTCTAACATGCGTAGAACATTTTGTGACAATAAGAGCTCCTGTGTCTCCGATCTGGCACTCCAAGCAGCGATGGACCACAGTGCTGACGTTTGTGGTAAGACTCGATGGAGTTGCAGGTGTTTAACGCCTTGTACATACTCTAGACTTTAGTTTCTTCAACTTCCTGGGGCATCTGAGTGGAGCTCATGCAAAATGTGTGGCTGGAAACTTTACAGTACTGTATGCTATGCAGTGGGGAAGTGGCGCAGAGAACTCTGATTCTTTTTTAAGATGATGCTGGTTAATATGACCTTAGTCTTCAAAAATAAAGGGACAGTTTATTAAGTGTAAAACAACTGTTGTTGTTACTCATCACAGGCTCAAAACAAAACAAAAGGAGGCCTTAAAGTAGAAAGTTCTTCAAACTGTAAACCCAGTTACTGAATCTGGCCTGGAGCCAGTCCTATTTATCTTTAATTTATGGTGTTATGAAGCATACACAATAATTTATCCATTGGCTTGGCATTTTTTTAAAGCATTATGCTTAATATTGTTAAATTGATGATAAAGATGATGCGGCATGAAACAAACTGTCTGACGTCTCACATCAATCACAGTGAAGCAGTCCACTGACACGACATTCCTATCTGCATGTTTGGAAGCACTGAAGGGCTTGTGTTTTTTTTCTGTATTTTCTCAGAAGCTTAGAGTTAATCGATACCTCTTTCGATGACCTGTCTCTGCTGTAAGAAAAAGAAGACGGGTACAAAAACACTACAACAGAAGTTGTATAACCAGGCACATGTATTTTTTGTCAGGTATTAAATTGGCAGGGTTTGAAAGAGGTCGTCTTGTTATTTTGCCTGTACTGATGCTGTCAAAGGGCCCTATGATGACTATACTCCATAAGGTTTGAGTGGGAGTTAAAGAGGGCCCTGGAGCTTCAGATAAACCCCCGACTCCTCAACCACGCACAGAGGATCTCTTTTTCTTTTAGCTTTGATATTTTGAATGTGTTGGCTGATGCCATGTTATGTACGGGACAAGTGAAATCATGATGGAGAATTGAAAAAGCATGTTGGTTTTAATACTTAAAAAAAAAAAAATCCCAGCTTATGTGTGTGTGCTTGGGTAACTCTTTTTCTCAGATGTTCATGGGTGTGTGTTATAAACAGGTAGAGGAAGATTTCTTTTATAAATTTGGACTCTGATATTGAGTAGACTTTAAAAACGTTTGTGGACACTATCCTTTGCTTTTGGTGTCTTCCTCCGTCAACCTTTGGTAGTTTTTATTTCTATCTGTATTTTGCACTTACACTGAAGATTATTATCACGCTGATTAAGTTGACACCAGTATTATTATCTCTGACAACACTGATGATCTGTTAAGTGATGACTGTAATGCAGTTAACTCTATAGCCTGATTTCATGTCAAATAAAACGAGTAAAACAAATCAAGTCATGGACATTTGTTACAGAGTAGATACAGTGAATCATGTGAACTGCTGCACCTGAAAAACAAAATTGAACAATTATGAAACTGAGTTTGCATCTTTCACTGCAACTGGTTCAGATTTTTATTGTAAAGATTTATTTTTGCATTTTTTTGTTTCTTTATTGGAGAGAGGACAGTGGATAGAGTTGGAAACCAGGACGAGAGAACAAGAGAGAGAGAGAGAGGGTGGGGATACCATGCTGGAAAGGAGCCACAGGTCAGATTCAAACCCTGGGCCACCCACTTGAGGACTATAGCCTCCGTACATGGGGCGCGTGCACTAACGACTAAGCCACCAGCGCCCCTGAACACTCATCATTTACAGTTTGGTATGACAGAGGGTCAGTAGTCAAATGAACTGTAACTGTATAGCAGTATTTAATAGTTTATGCAAAAAAAAAAAGAACATAGCATTTATCCAACATTCAGTGTGCCTTAAAAATGTGAAGAAATAATCTTCAAAGTTTTGTCTTGTATTTCCTGGGGTGCAAGCTCCCAGGTGGCACTGTCATTTTCTTGCTGCTTTTAAAGACTTATTAACTCAAAAAATCATGTGTCATAAAAACAGGAGGAACAAGCCAGCAGCAACATGACTGAACTCCTTTTAACTGCAACATGAACTGGGGGAAGCGGAGGAGAGGGCTGACATTTCTGAGTCACAGGTCAACAAGATGAAAGCCATGAGCAGCCTGACAGAAGGTCAGTGATGCAATAATGTCGGTATTTTTGTTTCACTTGGAACAGATCAACTCACTCTGTAGTGTAGCATACAGTGGATATAGTGAAGTCTTTCATTGAGCTGGTAAATTGAGCTAGCGTCACATGTTATGTGTGTGTGTGTTGGTGTGGCTCTGCTTCCCTCCTCCTTTCCTCCTCTGAGAATGTACCCGCTGATTACAGTACTCCGCTATTACTTTCTTTGATTCCAGAAGTTGGATTTGTTTTTCGGCATGTGTCTGCAGGAGCTGGGGATCCGACTCCAGACTGGTTGAGGAAACACCGACTCTACCACGGTGACACAGCCACCATGTTTAATTTCAACCTCAATTGAAAGCATTAACTCAAGTACCTCCATATTAGGATTTTTGTAAATCAGAATAATGCACTTACCAGACCCATAGCCTACTTTTGCCTTTAAAACAAAGTTTAAGGACCGTCTAATTAAAGTTATTGTATCAGAATTATGAGTCCAAACACAGATTTCAGGATCTTTGTATCGAAACAATTTTATTTTGAAAATTCATGTTGTAAAATGTTTTTATAAACTAACAATCTTTCAAAAATAAAGGGATTGAACAAGTTTGACATGAAGTGAACAAGAAGGTTTATTGTTTTTTAAAGTTTGAACAATTAGTGACTCACATTGATGTCAAAAACTAGACTTAATATATTTTATCAAAGGTCAATTCTAATTAACGTGAAATAATTGAAGGCATTATATATTTGTTTTTGTTGTCTTTTTCATCAGGCTGTATTATTTATGAATATTTAACTTGTTTGAGACTTTATAGTTCCTAATTGTCTTTGAGAAATATAATAATTGAAAAGTTTTTTCATGTTGCCTTCCTGAGTGACTTCAACACAAATAACTACATTTATTAATCCAATTGTTGCAGGTACTATGACAAATACACATTTTCTATTTCAATAATTTTATCAATCTATTATTTTAATGAATGAAGCACCAAACATAACTACAGGTACTGCGGCTCTCAGACTATCCAATCACAGAGCTCACCAGCCAGTCAACTAACGGCTAAAAATAAAAGTTCTGTGCTGAAATACATTTTACACGTTGCCAAATAAAATTAAAATTATTACGTATTATGTTAGTAATGAACGTTTGCGTGTTGTTGAATTATATTTACGGACAGATGGTTGACCTAGCTTTATGCTAGCCTATAGAACGGAGGATGTCATTTAGAATAAAACAGAGTCAGTCAGGATGACATTTTTTAGCACAATATTCTATTTTAACTCAGTTACAGCCTTATTTTAAATAAGATGTTAAATGAAAAATACTTCTACATTTTGAGAGAAAAAATAACTGTTTCTTTTATCAGATAAGTATTTGTTTTAGTCTAGTTGTAATCATTTGAAGATATATGTCATTTTTTTGTCATGACACTAGAATATTTTTATCTTTAAAAACATCTACACAAGTTACATATTTAGTTATCTTTGCAGATATTTCTTGCTTGTCTAAAGTACCAATTGTCCAATGTTTTGTCTGTTTTGGAGCTGACTTGTGGAGGAGATCAGAGGAAGCTTTGTGGAGTTGAAGGGTCCATGTGAAGAGGAGCTTTCAGTTCAGGAGAGGAGCAGGAGTCGCTGGTGATGATGGAGGATGAGGAGGAGATAAAGACATCTCTGGTGCACAGATCTTGTAGCAGAAGGAACTGTCGGAATGGGCCTTCATCAGCTCCTGTACGTCTGGATGTCTCTGAAGTCCACCTGAAAAAAAGCAAAAAGAAAATCTGTGAGTTTAAAACACTGATCCACAGCTGGGTGGTTTGAGGTGGAGGTTTGTTAAAGCTGTGTGGTTCTTTGGTTGTTTATCCGGCTGGAGGAGGATAAGATGCATGTTTAGTTTGTTGGTTGGAGAATGAGGTCGGCAGGTGAGATGGGGGACCGAGGCCTCGGGACCAGATGTTCGGCAGAAGATGTGGAAGGACGAGCAGCAGAGGTCCTCTTCCTCTTCTGGGCCGGTCTGGGAGGATGAGCAGAGTGCTGCTGTTTGGGTTTAAAAGATGAGGAAGGTCAGTAACATAGAGAGGATGTCAGGCTACAGTCAACTTCTTACAAGTAAACTACTTCTCTCACAAGAGAACAATCTGCAGCATAACATTTTGACAACAAAATGTATTTTAATGCTTGATACATTTGAGTGATACTAAAGATTTCCACTATCAGTTTTTAGAAAGATAGATGATCCTGTCTCATGGCAGCATAGCAGACCCTTTTGTGTCAACCCCTTGACTATTTTGTTTGTAACATTAAAGTCCTTTTTTAAATTTACATCATGACTCATCATTCAAAAATAATTTCACATGCAGAATTAACTTTTGCTCTTCATCACAAACTTTTTATGTTAAACAATATACTTTTTTTTTTTTTTCTTTAAACAAAATCTGAAAATAAAAAGTGTACCTGTTGGTCTCTGCAGGATGCTCTGGGCTTCCTGTCACTGTCTGCACGGCGTGCAGAGATTCTCCCTCTGTGACAGTAGCTGTGGTCTGCAAGGTGAACGGGCAAAACAAACTGCAACAAAACACAAAAACACACGTTAGAATCAGACTTATGTTTACAGTGAATGCAATAAGAAAACATAACTGAATATCAGATTAACAATGTCTATCTTCAAATTCAGAACAGGACCTTGAGGTCAGTAGAAAGTGAATGCCTTTGTGTGTCAGTTTGTGTTAAATGGGTACAAACTAGTCGAGGGCTTTTGTGTACTTGTATCATATATTTTAAGAGCCACAAATATACAGTTTAAAATTGTAGACAGTTTCTAACTTATTATTTATTCTTACTCTTTAGAATTTACAGGAAAATAACAACTAAATGTTGAATAAAAAAAGGAAGTCATACTACCATTAGATGTGTTCAACATTAACCTATAGCCTATATTATATGTGAGTAAAAACATTGATACATAACTATACACACATAGGTATATCTAGACTTTAATAATAAGAAAATGTGAAAAGGGTTTCATTCTCGTGAGTTATCTGAATATTTCCTCATTTATTGACTGTTTTTCTTGTAACAGTTGAACTTTCAGGAGGTGAAGTTTGGGCCTGTTAAACATTTGAACTCATGGCTACACTAACATTCAGAGGATTACTGTGTATCCCATCTGGAAGTTTATTCAATTGTAATTCATGAGATGTATATAAATATCACATGAACATTGTTTACAGAGGATATTTATCTCTTTAAAAGTACATTGATAATACATGGATACAGCTGGCTGCTTCTCAAAGTGTGAATGATAACTTCTGAGATCGACACTTTTTAAATGTCACATTTTCCTTGATGGATGTTTGTAGATGACTTTAAATTATGTAATAAATCAAAATAAAGAGTTAGCCTACATAAATATGAATTGAATGTTTAACTGAGTTGTTGGTCTCTTTAAATAAATGAATCCGGTGTAGTTCAGTTCTGACAGTCTGCATGAAACACTGGAGATCGTCAAAATGATCAAATCTGACATTTTCCATCACTAAAGTTTCTTTATTTAGTTTAAAATATATGTAATATTCATAAATGAGACTCCAGAGGAAATATCTTCTGAACAAACCTTATCCGGTTCAGTTCAGGTGAGACAAATGTAACATGACGGTAAACACCGGAGATTGACTAAAGGTGGTGAACTCTTACGTTTTCCATGACAGAAGTTTGTCGTTTGTCTGGGAAGACTTTAATTCTGCTCAGGATGTCACAAGTTCTCAGTTGAATCGATAATTTTGTAGAAATCGTGGCGATAAAGTCGTGAAACAAGTTTCGTGGCTCATAGAGTTTTTGTTTGTGTTTAAATGATGATCTGATCAAAATGATGCACCTAGAAACGGACCATAGCAACCATGGAATCCTGCGCGTGCGTGACGTACGTGCGTATTGTTGCGTTCTGTATTTCACACATTCTCATGATTTTAAAAGACCCTTCAATAATATAGGCCTATATGAGACTGAGACATATTTCATTGAATTTATTTAATTATTTGAAGTAACAACAGCAGCTGGACTTGTTCATCTTCATAAACGAGAAAGGTGACGTGCGCATTTTACACACGTGTTGACTGGACCTTTTTACATGTCTACATATCAGGCAGGAGTGCAGTTATAACCAGATAACAGATGCGGAAATGTTTGAATACTGCGTCTTCATCTGCAGCAGTTTTCAGGACTTTAAGTCACAACCTTATTCACAGATTCCTCCAGAAGTTTCTGTGTTAACAAATAATTATCACAGCTGAAGTTCAGAATATGTGTAGTGGCAATGTCTTCTAGCGTGCAAAAATTGTCCCTTGAGTCATAAGAGCCGACCTGTTTGTTCCTGATGCGTGTCCACTTCAATATAAACTCACGGATCCGTCGTTTCGTTTGATTTCTCTGTTTATTCACGAACAATTTCCACTTTTTTCCACAACAGATCCAAAATTAATATCAAAAACTCATGACTTAAATAGGATAAAAACAAACATGTGCTGTGTGGCTATACCTCCACCACAGTTCACAGACAAAGACGATCTCATTTTCTCACCACCTGTGCATCGCACCCACATTAATTAATCAGCTCCACCCATAACTCAAAATACCTGCCCAAATAAAACCATTATTTACCATAAAAGTGTCCATGTCAAAACAAATACTTCCCATGAATAAATACTTATTTAGAACGATACAAAATATATGCTCTATTAGCAGAAACTTAAATCAGACTTCTCAAACTAAATTAACCATCATTAAAATGGCTTCTACGAATCAAACACATTACAGCAAGTTGTTGAATAAAGAATGAGCCGCTGATAAAGTTTAAAGCAGTATATAAAGATGATTTTGTGATGTGTGCAAGTTTATTCTAACAAGAATCACAGGCAAAGACTTTTGGATGGAAACCATTCATTTCACATAACATTCAGTTTGAGACAAAAATGACTCCACGACCCACCAGTTGAGAACCTCTGGTGTAAAGGACAGTTGGATCAAGAGAACTCAGGGTTAATATAAATGGATACATACAGAACTGTTTTTAAAGACATTAAAAAAACCTGTAATAGGCCAATATAAAATAAAATAAAAAATCATGAAAATGTTCCCAAAGCAGGGGAGAGCTAGGGTTCAGCCTCAGAGATAAGAGGACATTAATTGGAGAAACTCAAAGTCCCTATGTGTGTGAGTGTGTTGGTGTGGCTCTGCTTCCCTCCTCCTTTCCTCCTCTGAGAATGTACCCGCTGATTACAGTACTCCGCTATTACTTCCTTTGATTCCAGAAGTTGGATTTATTTTGAACTCATGCTCATTTGATACGTTTAAATTTTGACATGAATTAGTTTGGCTTTGCTGTTGCCATGGATTATTTAGTATTATAAGTTTGCAGAGGTTTTTTACTTGTGTGAGAAAGCCTGACTAGAGTTAACGAGCCTGCTCAGACACGTGGCGAGCTTGGACCGTATAAAGCACGTGGCTTACATGCTGCAGAGTGGAGTGTAGGAGGAGCAGAGCAGCTGCAGGAGCAGCCTGGACATTTAAGTGATATGTTTGGGCGTTAATGCAGAAAAGAGTAAGTTTGTTCATATTTACTTGATCTAGTTTCATGTATGTACTTACTAAAGTTATTATCTTCATTCTATTCCAGTTAAATTGCATCAAGTTTTTCTTTGATACATTTTTCAAGATTGGTTGTTATTGCAAAAGGGACATCATATATTGTATATGCTATGAAGCACATTTGTGTTAAATACATATATATTTTTTCCTTCTTTCCTTTAGAACCACACACACATACAGTGGGTACGGAAAGTATTCACACCCCTTTACATTTTTCACTCTTTGTTTCATTGCAGCCATTTGCTAAAATCAAAAAAGTTCATTTTATTTCTCATTAATGTACACTCAGCACCCCATCTTGACAGAAAAAAAACAGAAATGTAGAAATTTTTGCAAATTTATTAAAAAAGAAAAACTGAAATATCACATGGTCATAAGTATTCAGACCTTTTGCTGTGACACTCATATTTAACTCACATGCTGTCCATTTCTTCTGATCCTCCTTGAGATGGTTCTGCTCCTTCATTGGAGTCCAGCTGTGTTTAATTAAACTGATTGGACTTGATTAGGAAAGGCACATACCTGTCTATATAAGACCTTACAGCTCACAGTGCATGTCAGAGCAAATGAGAATCATGAGGTCGAAGGAACTGCCCAAGCAGCTCAGAGACAGAATTGTGGCAAGGCACAGATCTGGCCAAGGTTACAAAAGAATTTCTGCAGCACTCAAGGTTCCTAAGAGCACAGTGGCCTCCATAATCCTTAAATGGAAGAAGTTTGGGACGACCAGAACTCTTCCTAGACCTGGCCGTCCAGCCAAACTGAGCAATCGTGGGAGAAGAGCCTTGGTGAGAGAGGTAAAGAAGAACCCAAAGATCACTGTGGCTGAGCTCCAGAGATGCAGCAGGGAGATGGGAGAAAGTTCCACAAAGTCAACTATCACTGCAGCCCTCCACCAGTCGGGGCTTTATGGCAGAGTGGCCCGACGGAAGCCTCTCCTCAGTGCAAGACATATGAAAGCCCGCATAGAGTTTGCCAAAAAACACATGAAGGACTCCCAGACTATGAGACAGAAGATTCTCTGGTCTGATGAGACCAAGATTGAACTTTTTGGCTTTAATTTCAAGCGGTATGTGTGGAGAAAACCAGGCACTGCTCATAACCTGCCCAATACAATCCCAACAGTGAAACATGGTGGTGGCAGCATCATGCTAAGGGGGTGTTTTTCAGCTGCAGGGACAGGACGACTATTTGCAATTGAAGGAAAGATGAATGCGGCCAAGTACAGAGATATCCTGGAAGAAAACCTCTTCCAGAGTGCTCAGGACCTCAGACTGGTTCACCTTCCAACAAGACAATGACCCTAAGCACACGGCTAAAATAACAAAGGAGTGGCTTCGGAACAACTCTGTGACCATTCTTGACTGGCCCAGCCAGAGCCCTGACCTAAACCCAATTGAGCATCTCTGGAGAGACCTGAAAATGGCTGTCCACCAACGTTCATCATCCAACCTGACAGAACTGGAGAGGATCTGCAAGGAAGAATGGCAGAGGATCCCCAAATCCAGGTGTGAAAAACTTGTTGCATCATTCCCAAGAAGAGTCATGGCTGTACTAGCTCAAAAGGGTGCTTCTACTCAATACTGAGCAAAGGGTCTGAATACTTATGACCATGTGATATTTCAGTTTTTCTTTTTTAATAAATTTGCAAAAATTTCTACATTTCTGTTTTTTTTCTGTCAAGATGGGGTGCTGAGTGTACATTAATGAGAAATAAAATGAACTTTTTTGATTTTAGCAAATGGCTGCAATGAAACAAAGAGTGAAAAATGTAAAGGGGTCTGAATACTTTCCGTACCCACTGTACATACACACACACGAAGATACGTAGATTGATCCTCATAACTACACGGAACCACGAATGAGACACAAGATATGCCAATCTCCTTTGTTCAAAGTGGCCTCTGTAAATCTACGTGTCTGTCACGGAATAAAACCCTTGATCTGTGAATCCTCTCTGCTGTCCTGATTCTCTGACCGGAATCATTTTCCATATCTGCCGACCGAAACTAAAGAACTTTCCAAAGGTTCAACCTTTATTTCATGGTCCTTCGAGCCGGATTTGGGTTCACCAGAGTGCAGATGTACCGGAGAGCGCAGGGGGTCCACACAGGACTCATCGTCTTCCTTCCCACCTTGCTGATTACGAAGTTGGATATCGCCACAATGAGGATCAGCCTGTTCAGCCTCCTACTCGCCCACAGAGCCATAGTAGTGGTAAAGCAAGGATATCTTCATCTACCAGTGATAGCCATTTCAGCAGTCGATCAAGCAGGTGTCACACTGCATCATCTGTTCTAAACCACCCTGTAGCATCTCTTTCCAACGTACAGGCAGCTCAATTAGAAGAGAGGACGAAAGCTTTGCAGCTTGAGGAAATAAGATTTCAAATAGAGGACGATATCAATGCAGATATACAATGCCGAGAGCTGGATGCTAAGGCCAGAGAGGCCCAATGTATTCAGGAGGAAGCAGCACGGGCTCGTGAGGCTTTGGTCAAACGGCTAGATAGAAACTGTCGCCTCATTAAAGCTGAGAATGAATGGAAGCTCGCAAAACTAGTCTCTTCTATGGTATTAGAGGACAACCTTGAGGCCCCTGATGTGACAAACATCGCAGGTGATAATCCTTCGCCACATGTTTTACCAGCGGATGGAGCAGCTGTTTTCCCTCAACTCATGACCAGTCAACCAGACCACCAGCTCTTGGTCTGACATCTACTCCTGCCTTTGGACCATTGATTGCACCTCAGACAAACGCTGCAGCATCTGCAACCTCTCAAGCCAACACGCCAGTTACTGGCCAACCCACGGATTTTCAAACCATTGCATTGCCAACGTCAGAATCTATGCCACCCTTGAAGACAGAGCCTTACCCAGTCATTGCCCCCTACGGAGAAAGACAGACTTTTCCCTCAGCAGGTTCTCAGTCTACAACAGCTCCCACCTCTGATGTTCGGCAACGCCCTAAACTACCTCCTCCAGCACCGGTCCCAGGTCTCTTTCAGAATTCGTCTGTGCTGCTACCTGCAAAGCGTGATCCGGGTGCAGCATATGACCAGCCAGTCCAGCCTTCGCCTGACCATCTCCTTCGAGGTCACATACGCAGGTACTCCTCATGCTGTACCTCCCCGAGCATGCCTTACCAACCTGTACCAGTTCACTATGGTTCTCCGCCTATCTTAGCGAATCCACCAGCTTATGCCATGCTTCCAGGGATGGAACTTTTACAGAGACGGAGACGGATTCGTTGAGTATTGCATCAATCGTGGCATTCTTCGGACTGGAACTGACCTAACATACACTCTGCCTGATTTAGCAAATTGGCTTAATCTAAAATCCCAAGCAAAGCGAATAGCCAGTCGGGCTGCAGCCTTGTATCAGGTTGAAACACCTAAAGGGCTAAAGAGGGAGCAAGGGCCCACACGTTCCAAAGAGAAATCAACGTCTATTTTCTTCAATAAGGAGACCCTGTTCGGTCAAGCCAAAGGTAAAACCAGTACCTTACTGCCCTTATTGTGACAACAAGGAGCATTTCCTTAACTCTTGCACTGAGTACAAGAAACTCAGCCGCAGCCAGATGTTGAGATGGCTAAAGGATGGGAAACGGTGTTGGAAATGTGGACGGAGTCACTCACCTGATGCCTGCACCCTCAAAAGGCCATGTAGGACTTGCAAAGAGCTGCACCTTACTGTCCTTCATGATGTTATTCAAGACCATCAAGGGTCAGTGTTAATGGTCAGTGTACCAGCTCCTACTTCCATCTATTTGGACCGACCAAACCGCTCAAGGTGGTAAAGGTCATCCTGCACAATGGAGGACTTGCCATGGAGACATATGCTGTGCTCGATGATGGCTCTGAACGGACTGCAGCACAGACATACAGGAGCCCACTCTTGGTCTGCAGTGGAACTGCATCCGCGACACCATTGGCTACAAACACAGATCCCTACAGACTGCTGAGCCTACACTGCGATACATCTACAAGGTTCTCGCCTCTCAGTTTGACCCACTCGGGATGATAATACC